CACAGCACAGAAACAGCTTTAGTGAAGGTTACAAATGATCTTCTTATGGCCTCTGACAGTGGACTCATCTCTGTGCTTGTCCTGCTAGACCTTAGTGCAGCGTTCGATACTGTTGACCATAATATTCTATTTGGATGGATGAAATTGGGCTCCAGTAAAACTGTCAGGAACCTTTGAGTCATTTTGACCAGGATATGTCCTTCAGTGCATACAAAAAATAAATATGTAGGACTGCTTTCTTCTATTTGCACAATATCTTTAAAGATATTGCGCAAATGGAAGGGAACACGTGTTTATTAGAAAAATCCTCTCTCAGTGTGATGCTGAAAAAATTGTTCATTAATTAATACTTTTAGGCTGGCCGACTGTAATTCATTATTATCAGGATGTCCTAAAAACTCCCTAAAAAGCCTTCAGCTGATCCAAAATGCTGCAGCAAGAGCACTGACAGGAAGTAGACAGAGAGAGCATATTTCTCCTATATTGGCTTCCCTTCACTGGCTACCTGTTAAATCCAGAACCAAATTCAAAATCTGGCTCCTTACATACAAGGTCTTCAATAATCAGGCCCCATCTTAACTCAGTGACTTTCTAGTACCATATCACCCTTTAAGAGCTCTTTTCTCTGAGACTGCGGGCTGACTTGTGTCTCCCAGAATATTTAAAACCGCACTGTATAAATAAAATTGAATTGAATTGAATTGAAATGGGAACCGAGGAAGGATGCTGTGGTTGCAGATACTATCTCGCTGTGAATATGCTCTTGGTCTATGGTCATGACAATTTGCATATTCATACATACTGACTGACCTCATGTCCAGTTGCAAATAAGTGATGGAACGTTGAGACATTGTGCAAAGGTGCGTTTCTAATGTTGGAAAAACCTCAAATCAGCCGATTCTCACCAATGAGCTCACATGGATGACTGACAAAATGTTCCTTCCACTATAAACAAACCATCCAGATGAACAGAATCAACTTTCTAGAAGAAGGTACGTTATGGTGACTTAAACCATGTACCATAGCTCCTACACTGAAAGGACACTTTGACCACATGATAGCACTGTAGAACGAGTGAAACTAAGATGAATATGCCTTATAAATTAATCTTGTGTTTGAACTGGGCTGAAGGTTTAGGTTAATCTCAGAGTTATGCCCAAGTGTCTGTACAAAGTGGGAAACCTGAGAGAAAATCCCGCAGTAGCAGCTGGCTGACTCATGAGGCTGATTGCTGATTGACAGCATCTGTGTGAAGTAGTGCTCAAAGTGTGTATAAAAGCAGCAGGTGCGTTTTGCTTCATTATGGGCACCTTTTTCCTCTTCTTATACCAGCTAGAGAGAACGCTCATCATTTACTGTTGTTTTGAGAATGGGTAAGACTTTTTCTTCCTGGTAACTGCTGAAACTTGTTTGGTCTCTTATTTTGAACAATGTGAAATATTTGTGTGTTTGTGATCTGACTGGAACTCTATCAATTTTTTTTTTGGCTTTGCAGCCAAGAAAGTGCTGATTGTGTATGCCCATGAGAGCCCTGCCTCTTTCAATGCTGCTGCCAAAGATGCTGCTGTGGCAGCTCTGACTGCTCAAGGCTGCACTGTAGAGGTGTCTGATCTGTATGCCATGAAGTTCAAAGCTGCTGCTACTACTGAGGACTTCATTGGTATACAAATATTCTGCAGGTATAGGAATGCTTTGATTGCTCTTCAGATGCAAACACTAAATTTCTGTTGCAGGTGGTGTGAAGACTGCAGAGGACTGCTATGCAGGTCAGATTAAATTGGCATGGGAGGAGGGCGTAATTGCAGATTGCATCAAAAAAGAGCAGGAGAAGCTCAAGGAGGCAGACCTTGTCATCTTTCAGGTAGTGTCTGACTGGAAATGTGTATGGTCGGCTGACAGGTATCCACATCAAAATGACCATTAAACCTGTGTTCCCAGTTCCCCATGTACTGGTCATCTGTTCCTGCAATCATGAAGGGGTGGATGGATCGGGTGTTGGGCTTTGCCTACGCACAGGAGAAGCGGTACAGTGAGGGGATCTTCAAGGTGAGAGCTCCACCAACATGTCTGTGTTCAGGCTGTGTCCTCTCCCTCTTTGCTCACTCCTTGCTCTCTGTAAAGGACAAGAAAGCCATGCTGTCCTTCACCACTGACTGTCCTGAATCTGTGTACAGTGACACTGGCATCAATGGTGACATCAATGTCACACTGTGGCCACTGCAGGTGAGGTCTCACTATAAACAGAGCCACGCATTAAATGATCTGTCATGTGGTAACAGCTGCTCCTCCCTGTGTGCAGAACGGGATCCTGAACTACTGTGGCTTCCAGGTTTTTGCCCCTCAGATCTTCTGGGATCCTGCTGCTGGTTCCCCTGAATCTCGCAGCTCCATGCTGGAGTGCTGGCGCACACGACTGCAAAACCTCTGTGGGGAAGCCACTGTGTACTTTGCTCCCTTGGACTACTTTGACAAGGAGAAGGGTTTCCTGCTGAAGCCTGAGGTCAAAGAGAAATATGCCAGCAAAGAGTCTGGCCTCACAGTGGGGATCCACATGGGCAAGCCACTGCCAGCCAACAGCCAGACCAAGGCCGGGGTCTGACGATGGAGTGGGTCCATGAAATGTCTACTGCAATAAAAAGGCTGCTTTATTGTAACTTCAGTTTGAGCAATGAGTTTCAAATGCACCACTTGGTTTCATACAGTTCAGCCATCTAGAAAATGGTTGATGTACATAACGGGATACACGAAGTTGTCTCTTTAGGCTTTCAAGACTGGTGTCATTATCCAACGCTGACTAAATTGACACTTGGGGCTTTGTTGTATACCAGAAATGTGAGCTGGCAATGGTACACAAAGAACTGATGCAATGTGTGGCAAATCCAGTGAGCTGCTTCACATTAGCATGCTGAGTGACGGCTTGATCCATCCAGCTCACTACACCATCTATAACGTGATTGTGTCGTCACCTTCATGGTTCCCTTAACACTACTTCATTGCCTCTTTCCTGTACAGGTACTGTCTCTCTACCAGTAGCACCGCTGCTGGAATTGTGGGGAATGTTGGTGCTTTTCATCAAGGGGAGAGAGGAGCTCACATTACCAAGCAATTTTCAGCATGTGAGCAGAGGGGAAATGTGGCACTTTAAAATATGAAGGTGTGGTCAGCCAGT